GTATATAGTCATTTGCACAAATATAATCATTTAAATTTACAATAAAAAACTATTTAAAAGCCACTTCGTGCTATACACCTCTGGCTAATTGAATGTTTTCGTTTCTAATCTGATTCAATCAAGCTTTTTCATGCTTGATGTGGATGTCAATGAAGAAATTTATTCAAAAGTATTCGCACTCTCCGTTATAAAACATGATCCGTTTCGCAGTTATAGATCAGAGATGAGCGAGTCAGGAAAAAAGTCGCACCGTCACCGCCCCGTCCCGCACCGCCGATAAAGTTTCGCACCGCCACCGCCCCGCCTGTTTAGCATTGAAACCGCCACCGCCTCGCCCCGCCCCGTCAAAAATATGTTTTAAAAAACTATTTATTGACAAATTTTTCATTAAATTTTCATAATGGCTATTTCATTTCATGAGATGAAGAGGCATATTTTAAATGCATAAACATCGTTCCGAAATCGAAAAAAATAAATATATGAAAATGAAAGGCAATTATAATACAGTCACTCATTTTGTGGAACTCACGTATATTTTCGAATAAAATAGTGATTGTAAGTTTTAAGTTCGAGGTTTGGCGGCTCTCTCCCTTCCCCCACTCCATTACAGACACTCCACTCAGGGTTGCCAGATCTTCCGATACGGCAGGAAAAATTCCGATTTTTTAAAAGTTTCTCCAACGACTTTCCGACGTTCCGATTTTTCCGATTTTAACATATTTTTCTGATCACCTTCAGATTTCCTAATTTTTCTCCGGTTTTCGAAGTCTTATTTGGGAATTCAAGTTCTTAGGACATTCTAGAATAGTTTAACCATGACACGACACCACACATATATAGCGATCTATTTCACCATAGTTATCGTGTAGTGAAGCGTCATGAACTCAACAAACCACACTGCAGTGATTTGAAAGCATATCCTCCAATAAAACTATGATGTTTTACAGACAATTAAGATCCAGCTTTCTATCACGATGAACTAACTTTCTCTGTTCGTTTACTATAGTGTTAATTAAGAATATTTTCGTTTCTAAGCTTTTTTTGTTTCATCACAGATATCATAAAACTAATCATAATCGTATGGGTACTAATTTAGCTGTTGCAGAATTGAAAATCGGAATGAGTTCTGTTTATACTTGTGGACATTTTTATGAATATCTGTTACCTCAACCTGATATTTTGAAGAGTATTCGAGCTAATAAAAAAGTATGAACAAAAACGAACATTATACAGAATAAGTCTTAGTTTTGTTTTGCATAAGTTTTGTGAAATGCATGTGTGTGTATGAATTTACAATACTGATTCTATTGTTTCGTCAAGTTGGTTATAGCATTTTTGATAAAAATAATGTGATCCTGTTCAAATTACTCATGTAGATTTCTCAATCATGAGTAAATTGTGTAATCGATATTTTCTTTAATTCTTTATGAAATATCATTTCTGATATTGCTTCGAAAAGATGAACAGAAGCAAGATAAAGGATATTGAAGCTATCGAAAATATATAGACTAGTTATTTAAGCATGGAAAAATACTTTCTGATTTTCTTCCGATTTTGAGAACAAAAATTCCGACTTTCCCAATTTTTAGAAAAAATTTTTCTGATTTTTTAATTTTCCATCTGGTAACCCTGACCCCCACCACTACAGACCTCAGCAGCGCATAAAAGACTCTAGTTTTTATATAATATATCAATGATTTCATACGTATTCGGAAAAAAAGGTATTTTACAATTTAAAAATAAGGCATCAGGACAAAAAATTAAACAAATATATGTGAGTTCCACATTTTAGCTCCTCTGGAGCTGCGCTAACAAGTCTTTTTTTACTGATTAGTTTTGTGAAAAGATTTTAAAATTTTAAAAAGATGTCTCTAAAGGTCTGAGTATATTTAAAAAATCAAGGTTATACAAAGGCGGGGAAACCGCGAAATTTCGTCATGCACCGTCACCGCCCCGCCCCGTCAAGTTTTAGCACCGCCCCGCCGGCGGGGCGGGACGGGACGGGGCGGTTTTACACCGCGGCTCGCTCATCTCTGTTATAGATACTATATTCGTTACAAATATTCGTATGCATGACCACACGATTAAATACTTTTACACTTTGTACATGACAAAATAATCATCTGGCGTTGGGATTAGAAAAAAAAAGAAAATGTTAACTAATCTAAGGGTTATTAGGATTTCAATCACAATAATTATGAAATTCTATACCTGCAACAAAAGAAAATCTTTACAATAATTGCTGTTGCCGCATCACCAATGTAAAATATATAAAATCTTTCAGGTATTTTATTATTGACCAAATTGAATTAAAGAAAGACTACATGGAAAAGGCAAGATCATTGTTGGCAAATATATAATTCAAAAAAACAAAGACTAATGCACTTGAAGAAAAAGAGAAAGAAATGAACAACTACATTAAATTACTGTTAAAAGCAAAAATCATTGAAAAGGAAATACTATCAACTTCACTTTACTTGCTCTTCTCCAGCAGTTTTCTACGGATAGCCTAAATTTCATACAATAAACGTTTCTCTACGTCTGATCATCTCTACAACAGCTACATACAACTACCGTCTATCAGAACGTTTAACAAAAGTTTTGTTGAAAGAGCGAGAGAAACTGCTCTCATTCGCAAAAGACAATTTAGAATTAACGAAGAAAATTACGAATATGAAATCTAACAAAGATAAAATTCTCATAAGCTCTGTTATAGAAAGCCTATACACCAATATTTTGGTCTCAGAAGCAATCGGAACTGCATTAGATCCGCTGTTCAAAGGTAGAAAAAAATCTGACTGTCCTTACGATCGCTCTCAATTTAAGAAATGATTAGAACTCTCTCTCATCCTTGCAAACATTTTCATTCCTAAACTGAAAGAAAAACTCAATCGGTTTACCACATACAAACCAAAGATATAGTATCGATATGTAAATGACGCTTTATGCGTGTTTAATAAACAACAGAACATCACCGATTTTCTTTCTGAAATTAATAAATGACACTCGAACATCCAATTCACGACCAAATATGAAAAAATGAAAGCCGTCGACTATGAATTTATACCTTCTCTATGATAGCAATCAAGCAAGAAAATATAAACTCGTCTTATTAAAATCTATTCGCTTTTGATTACTATAACTCCAAAAAGTTGAAAGGAATCATCTGATTAAAACTCTACAATAAAATGGCTATCCAATGCACATCATCAGACGAGGAATAAAGGAATCAAATGCAATCTATTAACGATTAAACAATCTGGACTCTCAGTCTCAATCTCAAACACCAAAAAAAAAGAAAGAAATATACTTTATTTTTTCCGATCACGGACAAAAATACGAAGACTTTGCAAAAAACTACGATCAAATACAACTATCAACCTAGCATAGAGAAAACCAATGACTCTTCGTAATATATTTCTTCCTCGTCAGAAAAGAAATATGAAATTAAGAAACAAAAGAAACTAATAGATGCTGCGAACTGTAAAGACTGTGACAAACAGTACATTGGGAAAATTAACCGACCGATGCTAACAAGAATGAAAGATTACCAAAATGGTGTTTCAAAATAGATAAACCAATCTCTCTCATCGTTCAACATTGCAATACTAAGAACTACAGAATGGACCTAGACAATGTTGAGATCTTTGCATTAGTATCGGTTTGGAAACGCAGAATCATTAAAGAGAACTTACTTACACATAATACATACACGGTAAAGCAATGAACAAAGTGAGATAACAACTCAAAATAATCCAGTATCGCCTTAAAGGTGCAGCTTTAAGAGCTCCAGAACGCCTGTTCTAACGAACAGAATGAGCGCTCATTCAAATATGGTCTACTTTTTCAAATATAGTCTACTCGTTCATAAATATGTAATCTGCTCATTCACACAATTGTCATTCTTTATCTCTTTTTCTTTTTCTATAACTTGACCTATGACCTTGTGTATTGTTGATATTGTGAAGTAATTACGCATTTATATCGATGATAACACAAGAACATTTTTCGAAATATCAATAAATAAATGCGATGCGATTAGGTCAAATCACGATGTTTGTTGCAGTTCTACATTTCATTCTGTCTCTGTTTCGATTTTCAACCGCATTCTCCTCGAGTTTTCTAACGATAGATTTATATATTATACTTGTAAGTAATCATTCTTTACAACTATTAGAGACAAATTTATAGGGAATAAAACTTTAATGAATATGAAATGAAAGTATAAAAGCGTTCTGTTAATCTCTTGAAAAGTTGAAAGAAATATTCATATTTCTTTTTCGATCGCACTTTTGGGACACCCTGTATTATCAAATAAAATACAATTTACGTGATTTGTTACTTTTGTTTCGAATATCTCTCGCCTCAGATACCTACTATATGTTTAATGTTTTATTTTTATTATTCTCATTTCTCAAACATGTTCAAAGATTACACAGTGTGTAATCATTATCGCTCACTACTTTTTAAAAAGGCGTCAATAGCAGTATATTTAATAGTTGGCTTTTCTATGAAGTAATACTATTCTTATATTTATATGATTGTCGTACTGCTACCGAAACGATTAGTTTGGGTTTTTATTCAATTCATGTGAATAAAGTGATTATTTACTAGTGTTAGATTTATGATCGTATTCTCTAAAAAAAACTGATGTCCTTGATGTTGGAGGGTGAAAGAAAACAAGCCATAGGGGTTCCGATTAGAGTACTGCAACCCGACCCGACCCGACCCGCACCCGAGCCCGACCCGCGGGTGCGGGCGGGTTCTGGTTCAATCTTGTCGGGTGCGGGCGGGCTCGGGTTCAATCTTATCGGGTCGGGTCGGGTACGGGTCTGTCAGCCGTCGGGTCGGGTCGGGTGTGGGTTTGAAATTAAAAAATGTCGGGTTTTTATCGGGTCAGATTTTTTTGCGTATGCATGCTTTTGCCCTCTATTTTCGTTCGTCTTAAACTCATAGAATAATAAAACTCAATTCTATTGGTCAATGATTCTCAGAGTCTAATGAAATCAGAACGTAATGCTGTTATTAAAAATATACGAATACTTTTAAAAACTCTAGGTATAGATCAACAAGTCGATGAAGAAACAACAGAGACAGGTACCAACAACGATTCCTTAACACATCAAAAACGTATTAAAATAGACACTGTACACGATGTTCTCAAGTCTTTTAATGCATTTGTAGACTCATCATCAGACGATGATGATAAGAGGCCGATGGATAAAGTAGATGATTATATTAAAGCGAAAATATCATACCCAAAAGGAGAATCACTTTTACAACGGTGGTAAAAACACTCTATCATATACAAAAAGTGAGTTTCTTGATTACTATATCATTCTCCTTAAATGCACAAGGAAAATTCAGTAAATTAATTTAAATTTGATTCTCCTTAGGTTATCATTATTGGCATGTTCGCTCTTAGCAGTACCTGCAGGTTCTGCTGTATCTGAAAGAATATTCAGTAAAACAGGTCGGATTCTTGAAGTTCGACGTCAACAATTATCACCAGAATCACTTGACTCTCTTATTTTTTTACGAAATTTTTCAGTTGTTTTGTATAAATTGAAGATGTATTATTGATATTTCTACGATACTTATTGTTATGATCATTATCGATCTTAACTGTTTGAAATGTATGTATTTGAATGGAAATGTGATCATACTAAGTTGTGATGGTTTTTTTTGCAATCATGATTATCTATGTGTTTTTTATTGCTATAAAGCTTCTATCATTTTTTATGCTTAATATTGCAATAAACTGATGTATCTTTATAAAATAAACGAATTTAAATCTCTCGGGTCGGGTCGGGCTCGGATTCAACTATCCTCGGGTCGGGTCGGGCTCGGGTCCAACTATCCTCGGGTCGGGTCGGGCTCGGGTTGAACCTTGTCGGGTCGGGTCGGGCTCGGATTGAGCCTTGTCGGGTCGGGTCGGGCACGGGTACGACTAAAAGACCTCGGGTCGGGTGCGGGTTCGAAAAATCAAACCCGCGCAGGACTCTAACTCTTTCGCTTATATTTTCTAATCTTAGATATAAAAAATAAAGTTTTGCTCATCTGTTCTTTATTTTTTCTAGTTATTTTCCCATAACTGTGAACTAGGTATAACATGACACAGTAAAATAAATTAAAAAAAAAAAAGATTTTTTTTCTTTTGATTTATAAGAAAAATCTAGTTGAATGCATTTTTTCAAAATATATTTATGGATTTTATTTATTTTTTTTTTCATAATTACATAAAACGCAATATTTCTGTATGAGGAAAATACTTTGATAAACGTTCCGAAATTTCAAAATTGCCACAAACATATAGAACACACACTTTAGCACAATTGACCCGTGTTGAATCCCTTGTAAAGTTGTGTGTCACGCTCTTCAAAGATTGATAAGTAACATAAAGACGAACATTATTCAGTAAGCACGTTTTAGTGTTGATCAGGAATTGTTCGACATAATCATCATCAACATCGCTCAAATTTAATTCATTTAGATGAAGATATTCAATGATTGAAAAATGTTCATTATTGTCGTTTGCTTTTTGTTGTCCTGTTAGATTAATCACAGATAAGTCCTTCATCAGTGGAAATGATTGAGCAATTCGAATGAAAAATTCATATTCAAAAGGACGATCATCAAATAATGATACTTGATTCACACATTTGAATAATCCACCTCGAAAGCTATTTGTAATATTATCGTAATATCTTAATGTATATGGATATGAATAGAAATGACATTGAGCACTTCTTCTTTTTATAAAATAATCAACATAGCATATAACTTGATTGTCTTCAAGTCCTGTGAACGAATGTTGTATTTCTTCATTTGACAATAAATGAGTTAGATTAGGAAGAGGATCAAATAAACGAACATTGAAGATGAATTTGTTTAATCTTGGTAAATAATTAATAATATCTTTTTTTAAATTGTTTCCATCTAGAAATGTTATTTGTTCAACAGCAATATATAAAGCAAGCTTTTCCAAATTTGGCATTCGATGAAGAAGCGGGACGATTAATTCGTCATAAAAAGGAGTTGGCCATTGAGACATTAATGAAAAAAATCTAATATTAGGCAGTTGTTCCTGAAAGAAAAAGTATGCAATAAAAATTTATTGAACATTTCGATCATATGTTTAATAAATAAGCTGTTTGTTTGAAGAAACTTTGGATCTTCTAAAATAACTTACCTTCTTCAAGATAAAGGAGTTTCTAAGAACAATAAACTCAATATCAACAAATAACGTATGAAGTTGATTTAAACGACCATCGAGCAAATAAAGACAATCGTCAAAGTTGCCTACTTGGATGTGCAATTCCATCAAATTTGAAGAGAAAAATGTTGGATTTTTGTCATGAAACAATATTGACTGGTAGCTCGATTGAAGAAATGGATAATAATTTAAATAATGTAAATTACTGAATACAGTTAAGATGTTTGTAAACATCAATGTAGCCAAGCGTTTGTTTGGTACTTTCTTTTCATTATGACTGATTGTAATAAGAAGAGATTGGATTTTTTTGTTGAACATATCGAATAAAAGTGATTCATCTAAACATAGATTCAAAATATGATATGATTTATCAATTCAACTAGTTTCTTCAGTTATCCATGATTCTTTTTCGAGTAACATTTAACGATTAAAAAAACACATTTTTCTAAATGATGTCACATATCATTTACCATCAATCATTAAACAATTACTTTTTTTTTCAACGAAACCAATATCAAAAAAAAAAAATTTGAATTACAATGACTGAAATCATACTTTATACATTTTTTTCAGAATATTCATGTGCATTTTCGATATTTTCTTTGGTTGTTCTTTCTACCATGATTTATGGATCTCTCCTACTGATAGAGTCCATCGGGTCCAAGAACTTTTGGACCCGAATCCGCTCAATTTAATTTTTCTGGACCTGGAACCGGATCCGGACCTGATTGATTAATTTTTGATGAGCCCGGACTTGAACTGTACTCTCACTTCTCTTAATAAAACTTTCTAATCTGATTTTGATTGTCGTTCTGAAGATGCGATATACTTTTCATTTTTTTTTCTGTTACATGACTAGTATACGTAGAGAACTCAGTTGATATTTACTTTCAACTCAATTCATGCGTAAATTAAGTCATTGGTAATTTATATTTAAAACAAATACAAATATGTTGTTTTCATAATTTATCTTTATTGTTAAGTATAATTTTTTTGATAGTTTATATTTAAACAAAATGATCATACATTATATTTATTTGAAATATAAATAATGATTAGTATATTTATTTTTAAATATAAATTGTGAAAAAAATATTTGTTTGTTTTAAATATAAATTTCCGATAATTTATATTTATTCTAAATTGATACGAAAATGATACCCCTAAACATACTTTACATATTCTTTAAACGACCCAATAGAGATTCCATAATAATTAAGTTACAATTAGTTCTTACTCCTATCAATAGTTCGTTATAGAAGAATGCATGTATACATTACAAATGCTTTATATGATTTCTTCTATTCAATAACTATTCCATTATCAATAATACTGTGCTTTGTACTGAATCATACACATGAAAAAAATACGATGAATTTTTCTAAAGAAGAGGAAACTTACCGATTTAATGGAAAATTATGACATGTCAATTACATTTTATAAGCCAAACAAATCTCATAATTTTTTATGAATTAAGGTTTTTTGAAGAAAACGATCAAAAATTTAAAGAAACTCGTAAAATATCATTATATTCATGAAAACTTTTTTTTGATTCGGACCCGATGAATAAAAATTTTCAGACCCGAACCCGATCAAAATATAATTTTCAGATCCGGACCCGACCTGGTCCGGCTCGGACCCGATGGGCTCTACCTACTGATCACTTAGTTTTCATTCGTATTAAGAATTCAATAAAAGATACACTATGATATTGTTTATTACACGAAGTAAGCAAAAAATAGTCGTGTTTTTAAGATTAAAAACAATCGTAATGAAATATCTTACTTGAGAAAACACGTTCAGCAGTCTTCTCATCAACATTGTAAAGTTCAAGACTATGTAAATTAGGATAATCAGCAGCAAGAAGAATACGTTCCAAGGATAATGATTCAAGATTAAGTGTATTGATTTTATAATGTATTTGAGGTAATATTTGTGAACAAAATCGATCAACTACTGTGTCAACTAATGGATAAATAAGATCATTTGACATATATCTTAATAATGTTAAATTTCTGGTAAAGATTGGATCAGATACAATTCTATCTAATCGTATGCTGATACCTATAAGAGAATACAGTAATTCAACATTACACAGTTTCTTAAAAATCAGCAGAAGTAGTTCATCAGACAAATCGATTAATTGAACAATTGTGTGTACCATATTTGTATCCATCTATCAATGCTTTCACAGTTGACACACATGAACAACTGCATATATATATATATAGTTGTTGCCTATTGATTTGTTTCATTTGACCGATATCGTTAGTAGAAAAAAAGAATGATATATTCATTCAGACAATAATTCTTATACAATAAACATCTTCGACGTCTATTGATAGTTGTGTAATTGACCAATATGCAAGAAAAGAAAATCATATGAACTCGAGTTGTCAGCAATAAAAATTGATTTTTGTGTACTTCAATTAGTTATTTAAAGATACGATATTGTCTCTCTATCGATAGCAACTTGAAATATTTCAGTTCAATCTGATTATTCACAAGATATTAGTACTCATAAAAGTGAAACGTATAATTAGTTTGATGGAAATTGTTGTATATTCAATAAATAACTACTTAAATCTGTATCAATTACAGTGGCTCTTAATTTCGATAGGCGGATGCAAAAAAACCCAGCAGTTAGAATGTTAGCTTGCCTTTCTTTATTGGAAAAACACGAAGTA